ATATATATATACATATATATGGAAAATCTGACCCTGAACCCACAAGCTTCTCTCTCGTTACATTACTTCCAGACTGATGGCTCTGCTTGTTAAGTGTTTGTTATTCCACATGCATCGATGCCCTGCAGGAACAACTTAAGCCTGAGAAGAGAAGGGCCCACAACATCTGTGACCTGCTTCGTTCTCGAAACATCCGCTGGATCTCTGTCACGCTGTGGCTGATCTGGTGAGTCCCTGCTGTCCCACCTGACCCTCACATTTGGTACCGTGACCCTACACACACAGCTACACACATTCAAGCACTCACATGTAGGCATAAACACACACAACTGCTCACATTCACATACAAAGTTTTAACCTGTTCATGCATCACTTTAACCACATGTCAGCCTGTTTCACTAACAACAAATAATGACCTGTCGGGTGCTGTGAAGCCTGCAACTAAGATCAAAATCAGGTTTTGCGTAACTGCACAGTATGCCTGTATTCGTCCTGTGCACGCTTCCTTGCTGAGTCCAAAAACAGATGCAGCTGCATTTCTGTTTGATCAGGAAACAATTCAATCTAGCTTTACACAGTTAAGTCTTTGCTAGTGGATAAGATCATATTTTTCTTAACCTCTGAAGTTAAAAATATTAATATGAAAATATTTTTAGGATGCATATCCTGAAAATATCAATTGGAATAAATATGTATTCACACATTGCATATTACAAATAACTGACTTATAAAACTCAAATTTTTCATTTCTCTTTCTATTAAAAACTTGTTTTGAGTGCTTTAGGGTTCCTGTAGGGGAAACCCAAGATAAGGTTGAGTTGTGGTTCTCGTTTGGCTTGCTGTTTTAATATTTAGCTAGTCACCTTGTATATAAACGGGCAGCTGTGGCTACAGTGTAGCTTGCCATCACCAGTGTGTGAATGTGTGTGTGAATGGGTGGATGTGGACTGAATGTGTAAAGCGCTTTGGGGTCCTTAGGGACTGGTGAAGCGCTATACAAATACAGGCCATTTACCATTTACCATAAACTAAAAAATGGACAAAGACTGCATGACATCACCCAATGGTTTCTATCTGCTTTGAAGTTGTGGTTTTATGTGTTGCAGTCTTATTATTTTAGCCAAAATTGTCAATTTTTGGACGTTGATGTGCTAAACAAGCTAGCAATGCTAGCTAGCTTGGTTAGCAAGGCATATCCATACACATTATAGATGCATTGCACACACAAAGATACCTGTTAGTTAGTGTTAACATACTAAAAAAAATTGAATTTCAGTTCAGTGACTTTAATTAGCTTAAATGAAATGTGGCACAGAGCTGGGAACCTAGTCAGCACCTACCTGTCACCACAGTGAGTTTAAAACATAGATGTAGCTTGAAAAAATGTTGCCAATACAAAAGTGACTGAAGCCTACATTCTTCAGAAATCAATGGATGAAGTTGCAGTAGCTGCAGCCATCTTAAAACTGTCTATGCCGCTCACTCAGTGTAACCATGTTCCTTATCTGCCATAACTTTGAGGCTTAAGGCAACTTTTGAAAAAAGACAAAAATAAAACTAAGTCCCCTATCAATATAAAAGGAGAAAAATAGCTCTAGGTTTATTTTGTTTCTTTCTAGGCATAAAAACTGTAAAGTACGGAAGCGTAGAGCAGCCACCCAGGCAAAAGAAAAACAGAGCTATATCATGTTATAACGTGAGAAGTTTATTGTTCTAACAATATACTTTTCATGTTTGTACAATATACTATCACGTTAGTACAAAATACTTTTCACGTTTGAACAACATAATATCACATTATTACAACATACATAATTATCATGTTTGCACAATATAATATTTATATTGTACGAACGTGAAAGGTTTTTGTTATAACGTGATAATTATGTATATTGTAATACTTTATAGGATATTGTACAAACATGAAAAGTATATCATTAGAAAAATAAACTTTTCACATTATAACGTGATATAGCTCTATTTATTTTATTTTATTTTATTTTTTGCCTGGCTGGCAGCTCTACGCTTCAGTAGTAAAGTACTTCAGGGCTTTTGATGCCATTATCAACTGACCCTAGAAAATTTCATCTTGGCTTTGTTTTTCAGCACTTGAAGGAACCACTTGGACACTCACTAACTGTGTTTATCTGCACTTTTAAAAGTTAAACAAAATTCTAAAATGGATGTTCTTAAAACATTATGAAGCTCTACAAAGCTATGACAAACTTATGTTACACCACCTAAAATACTAGATTTAGCCTTTCATCTATACCACTTCTCACTTTTAGTGGAGGTTTTGTAGATGTTGCCATCACAACATCTACTGTGTCAAACCACCAAAAAACTAAAGTCTGTTGTTGATACAATGTTTCGTTATCTTTCTGACTACTTTGTAGTGCCATACTATTGAGATGTACAGAATAAGGATACAAAAAGGACACTTTATATCCTCACAGGAACACCTTGACCATTGCCTACTTTGCTGTTTCCCTGAACACGGCAAACCTTCATGGGAATGTACACTTCAACTGTTTCCTGTCAGCTCTGGTGGAGATACCAGCCTACATTTTGTCATGGACTATGTTTCGCTGGTGTTCCAGACGGCTGACTTTGTCCTCATCGTTGTCCATGGGAGGGTTGTTTCTGCTACTCATTCAGCTTATTCCAACACGTATGGCACTTAAATGTTTTGTTCAAAACTGATTTATTATAGCTGTAATTTCTGGCAATCTTTAACAATTTTTTTAAATATCATTATATATCATGTTCACATGTTCTATTTTGAGTGTTGTTCTCATATTTATTGATTAAGTACAGTCATTTTCAATCTTTTGCAAAACTATACTGCTGTGTGAACAAATAACTTACATCAAACCTCGAACAATTTAATGTGTTTTTCCCTGTAGATCTGTTCTCTTTGGCAATAGCACTGGAGATGATAGGGAAGTTTGCAGTGACGACAGCGTATTCTTTGGTCTACGCCTTCACAGCTGAGATCTACCCAACTGTGCTGAGAAATACAGCTCTCGGTGCCTGTTCTATGGCCTCCAGAATAGGAAGCATTACTGCTCCGTTCTTCATTTACTTAAGTAAGGATCTTCTGTCCTCTCTTTAAAGTTGTGTTAATCACTGGTCATAAGGATGAAAAAGAAACACATTTAAAGTGAGGAGAACATATGCTAAGCATCCTGCCATTACATAGCTTATTCTTAGTTTCTCGTTAAATGAAGATGTGTTTATGCATTTCTTTTCATCTATTTTAGTGAATACTCTGTCACAGGGCTTGATCATTTAGACGTTCAGAGTCAGATAACTTGGCATTTTGAAGTTTGGAGTTAAACTAACTCCTCAAGGAAACCAGACCACACACGTCCAAGGAGAACATAGCAACTTAGAAATGTCCCAACTAGAACTAAACAACAAGAAATACCACCAGCTGAAGTATAATAGAAGACTTGATTAGCAATCAGAAAGGAAACAACAGCCTTCAGTTAAAATTTACAAGTTTCTTAGCATTTAAGGGATTTTTTTTTTGTAACCATTGTAGGCAAGGTTGCTTTTCACTTTCTTAACTTCCTTTGATATGTTGCCACAGGAAGCTATTCCGTTTCACTGCCTTACATCCTTATGGGAAGCCTTACAGCCTTAGCAGGGTTGCTGAGTCTCCTGCTGCCTGAGAGCTTTGGAATGCCTTTGCCTGAGACCATTGATCACATGCAGCACTTTCCCGGGTAAAGAAAGAGTTTCATTATAGAGTGAGATTAGGTAAAAAGATTATTTTGCTATTTTTTTCAGTGTAGTTTAAATTCACAATTGTTGTAGTTTGGTAGTTTTACTTTCCGGTGTTATAAAGAGGGGCCAATCTTTCGATTTTTAATAGTTTTAAACATAAAGTTTAAATTTCTTTTTTCTTGTATCACAATTTTATGTCATTATATATTTTTTTTTCAAAAAATGTGTTTGCTTAAATTTGAAAGATTACTCTTTTACCCAACTCTGTTAATTTTTGGTGTGTTATTTAGTTCACAAGCTCAAATACATTTGCCCTTTGATTATTTTTCACAACAGCTAAACTGAATGTGCAAAAGATTAGATTCTTGCTTGTTTAATAAGTAATGTCTATTTGCATATATTGAAAACACCCTCATCTGCCCTGCATCTTGCCTACATGCAGTTAGTATCAGGGATTATCGTCATTTAATACATATTTCTCAATATATTTGTCATAGCTACAATTGTGTTTAATCAGATAAAGGTAAAAAAAAAAACTATGATAAAAAGCTCACTGCATAAAAGACTGACTGTGCTTTGCTGTCATCTTGACCATGTCTATATGTCTAAATGCACTGAGTTACTTAGATATATGTGTTCATGAGCAGTTGAACCTATTGAAGTGGACAGTGAGTGTATGCAATATACTGAAATGATAACCAAAACAATTGCACCATAGTTTACAATATTTTATTGGTGTCGCTATCATTTAGTAACTCGCAAATTTACCCAGATTCGCCCAGTCTGGTCAGCCAATCCCATATAACAGATATTAAAACATTTAGTGGGAATCAGATAATTGTTTGACAAGTGTTTCCACTTCCTCTTTAGTCCAGGACAGAAAATCAACAGAAAATGCTTGATTATGACTTTATTTTTTCTTCCTTCTCTGTAGATGCTGTCAGAGAAAGCCCTATACTCTCACACACATGAGAGAAGAGGAAAATGCTCCTGAATGAAAGACTACATAAACAAGGAGAAAAGTGAAAATCTGACTTGATTCGAATCACTGGATGAGCAGAGATTGTGTACTCATTTCCACTAAGTGACCTCTTTAAGGACGTAGGTAAAATTATTGCTGTGTTGTCACTGGATGTATAAAATTATATCAGTTCAAGGGGACCAGAGAGGTAATTTCCTTACAAAACTGGAAAAAATTTATTTACATTATAGCAAAAAAAATATTATAAAAGGAAGCTTATACTCACCACCAATTTGACAACATTAGGATGTACAGTAGGAAACTTGAAAGAGTAACTTGCAGAAAGTTTGTAGAAATTCAGTAATTTGCTTAGAATATAGTGGGAATACATAATGCATTTAATGCATTTTTAATGGAAGGTTTATTCATTAATTGCTTACCATGAACCATGATCTGACCATGATCTGCCACTCTGAATGACATCATACATGAGTATGCCATAAAATACCCAGATACCACAAAGTAATTCTGATTGTGATGATAAGACACCAGGAAGAAGATCGGCTAGTAGTAGATTGATAGTAGAAAATAGTAGATCAGCTCAAGGCCACAACTTAAGGGGGACTTGTAAAAACAAACACACAAACAAGTAACCATTATAATCTAATGTAATAAAAATAATGTTTTCTTTGGATTCAGCTGTTAATCAGATGCAACCA